CGTTGGATAATATTCAACAATAACCATGGGAAGACGTTATTCTCGATAAATTACAACCAAATTACAGTGTCTTACATCGAATTACATATTTTTAAAATGGTGTTTTTCTTTCATCCTTATTTATAGAATGTAGTGTTAAAAAAGCAAGACACTAAACAAAACATACATTTCAATGAATGTTTTTTTAAGCTGTAATAAGTATGATTTTTTATACCAACGTAAATAGACGAAAAAATAATTTAACTGATATTATAGTGACTTTTATAACGTCAGCGAGCTTTTAAATTAATGCTCTTGTCTCTTCGTTGTGTATATATGTGCGTTTGCGTACCATTCTCTGTTTTCTCACTTCCATTTGTTTATTTAGAGCAACGTTTGCAAAGATCAATAACTAATCAAGCGCATGGAGTGAATTAAAAGAAAGTGCGCATGAATGGTAGACTATATATATATATATTGGTATTTTCATTTATCCAATTGAATAAACCAAAATAAAATATGGGAGGTAGACCTTGTCTTAATGAGATTTGCTTCTCTATATTTTTCTATCTACCGAGTGATAGGAAGAGACAGTTCGTTAGTGAAATATTATTAGTTGAATTAGTTCCTGAAAAGATGAAAGATGTCTGAGGTAATACAATTAATTTCAATCATTCGAGAAAGGAAAGAGAAAGAAAAAAAAATGCGAAATCAAGCGTTCGATTTCTCCTTGGTTTACCACAAAACGTGGCATGACTCGTCTAAAGGAAAATTAATAATAATATACTTTCAACATTCTTCTGGAAGAAACGAAAGGTAAAATTTGAAATAAAGTATTCCGTATAATTCAGTTCTGTTTTTCTGTATAGGTATCGCGGTGTCGTGTATTCCCTACGTTATCTGAAACATAGGCTAGATATGGGAAATTATATCATCACGTCAAACTAAGTTTATGCCGCTTGTGTCAGAGATCAGATGCACTTATTCTCTAACCCTCGTAATTCATATTTGAAAGGATCTTTATATGAAAGTAATAACTTATCTTAGTATTTGTTTATATCTGAGGTTGTTAATCCTAAAGTCAAAAATAAAGAGAGTTTGTTTGTTGGTTGGTTTTTAGTTAAGCACAAAGCTACACAATGGGCTATCTGTCCTCTGCCAACCACGGGTATCGAAACCCGGTTTCTAGCGTTGTAAGTCCGCAGACATACCGCTGTGCCACTGGGAGGGGGTGGGTAAAAAAGAGAGAGAAAGGAAGCGAGCGCTAGACCCCCGTCGTAATGGATGCTCCTGTGGCGCAAATTCCGTTGTTTCGCTCTGTCAAATAAACCTTGTCCCCCCACTTTTAATTTGCCTCATACACCTCTGAACTGACACTATACTCCAAACTAAAATTCCCTAAAATAAGTCATATGTTACTGAATTAAGTTCTAGAGTACTGATGAAGTGAATATATTTTTATAGAATTTATTTTCACAAAATATTGCCCCCAGTGGCACAGCGGTATGTCTGCGGGATTACAACGCTAGAAACCGGGTTTCGATACCCGTAGTGAGCAGAGCACAGATAGCCCATTGTGTAGATTTGTGCTTAATTCCAAACAAACAAACAAACACAAAATATTCGCGAAAAGTTACAAAAGGGCAACTGTTGAGAAGTGTATTTAAACCTAAGGTCGAAGTTCACTTTTTCTCGCAATCGTGACACCTATCTAAAATTATAATATAATACTTGAATTTTTTAACAATTATAAGTATCAATAAAAATAATGTTAATAACATTCGGCTTAGGGAGTGGTTTAATATCTGAGCAGCCATAACAACAAAGTTCAGGAATTTAAAATACACTTTTAATCTATTGTGATTTATTTCCTGAAAATGTAAGTACTTACTATATGTGTATATATGAATATATATATAATGTGTGTGAGAGTGTGTATACAGTGCGCAAAACAATAAAAGTATCATCAAAATTTGATATATTTGGCTGCCTGCGATTCGTCCAATGGCTTTCCATTATTTTATATCAATTTTTGTTTTTTCCTAGTTAAAATATAAATTCCAATTATTACTTGTTTTCATTATTTTATTTAATCATTGGCAGTGATAGCGTTTCTGTAACGTAATATATTAGTTCCTAAATAATTCAACTTTCTTGGCGCCACATCCGCCATTTTCTTTTTCTTTCATTTATGATGGCTTCTACAGAATTACCGAATGAATAAAACTTAACGTTCTATTTTTTCATCCCGTATCTTAAGCTTAGTTCACCATCTGAAAGTTTATGGCTCTTACTGTAAAAAAGAATTTACTAAATGTGTAACTTGTAATATAATTTAAGCTCTAGTAATGGAAGTCAGTTGCAGTTCTCACGTACTGTTCATGTTTGTTTAATCAATCACTGACCCTAGTCTTAATATCAATCACAAAGAAGATCTGGTGAGGTCGTGTCAAATAGTCTAAACATTCTCACTCGTACTCTTAACACTCCCTGTATACGCACAACGACGCTCAGTGAAACATTCCAGAAAACAACCCAGTTTACATGTCACCAAGAATTTCTAAACAAAAATCAGCAAAATATAATTTTGTTGTTTACAGTTTAAAAACATTACGATCGTTAAAATACGATTTGTGAATAAACAATATTCCGAGAAGAAACACCACAAATGTTTTACAGTTATAATCTTTCGTATATCGCATCACGATCGATACTTTTTGTCCGTTATTAAAAATTTATATTTTTATATTTCAGCATAGGTGGAAACTATTTAAGATAGATTATAAAGAGACCTAGGAAATCATTCACTTTATTCCCCTAGCGCATTAACAACAGGCGAGAAACCATACTTATTAAAAATACGGTTTTATGAAACTATATATCATGGACATTTGTTGAATATTTCTAGTTTTAAGTATAACTAAAATCAAATTTTATCTCTGGCGGCCTATGCTTCTTGTGATTGTGGAACAAACATTATTACTTAGCATGATTTCCCTTGATATTGAAAGAGTCATGAAGTGATACATACATAAACAATACAAATCCGCTTAAAATGTTCAATATAAATAATGGTAAAAAAAAACTGCCGTTAAAGCCCTCTAGTGTATAATATTAGAAGTACAATTTCGTACTTTTACACGAAGTACCATAAGTATACTGCGAAGCAGTTTCTAGGTGTACAAAAAAATATATAATAATAATCAAAAATAAATTAATCATTTTAACGAATAAGTATGCAACATTTTAAAGGAATAATTTTCTAAGTATGCAACATTTTAAAGGAATAAGTTTCTAAGTATGCAACATTTTAAAGGACATAAGTTTCAATAAGTGGCTGTGTGTTATATAATTAATACTATCGATACGTATACTTGGGGAAACTCCAAAATAAGAGAATTGAGGAAAATAAAGATAATTGTAGAAATATAAATAAATGAAATATTTATGAAATGTACAATTGCCTTTGTTTTTTTCAATTCTTGTATATCATATTTTAAGGAAGGGAAATTTCTTATATTTTGTTTCTGTAGTTAGCCCTCGTTTTGATTAAAGCTTAGAAAATTTAATGAAAATATGAGCTTATTTACAATAATATCGAGCCTCTTGGCATTTATGTATAAGTGATGTTGTAATTCAGAATTTTTACGTGTCTTATTTAACACGTTTTGCTCCTCAAATTAAACTAATTCTATATCGCCAACTATCGATGGAGTCCATATTTTGTGCTTTATATAACAACCAGGGTTAAAAATTGACCAAAAAAAAAACATTGTTTCAAATCATTTTTTTTCTTCCTAAAATAGATTGGGGGTCACAAAATAATTACTGGAATTTAGTTCCAAAATTAATTGTACTTTTGTTGTAGATTTTTTTGGGTGACTTAAATTTTACTAGGAGACAAAGAAACGGATCCACTGGTAATTTGTTGCGTAATTAGTTTAGAAAAAAAAACGACGTATAAAGCCGAAGGTTTCTGATGGACAACATTGGATATTCAACGGTTTTTTTTTCTAATCATAGCATACTTGGTAAAGTATATGGTCATTTATATGTGTGTTTTAACAATATGACTAAAAATGAACGACTAGGAAAACACACACACACACAAAACGTGTCACTTAGATGTTACTATAGATTAGCCACTTTGACAGTTTTGGTTCGATTTCAAATTTTTTGTTACACACGAAGATGAATATTAACTTTGAGTGGTTTAGAAAAACTTGTTTGTTTAATCGTTTAGCACGAAGCTACACAATGAGCTATATGTGCTGTGCCCTACCAAGGGTATCGAAATCCACATTTTAGTGTGATAATCCCTCAGACTTACAGTTGAGTCACATGGGAAAATTGGCCAGCTCAGGAAACATAGGATTGAGATATTGTAGTCCCAAAGAAAGGGCAGCCACTCAGGAGCACCCGCCGCCACAATGACAATGTCCACCTCATAAAACCGATTAAAGAGATTTGACTTTATTTTTACAATGCATCCATAGATGAAAGTACGCACCATTTTCAGCAGCATTTCGCCTCGAACCTTGAACGTTCCGCTCCGCAGCCGGACGCGCTAACCAGTTTGGATCTCTAAAGTGTAGAACATCAAACGAGAAAGAAGTTTACATACTTCATGTTTCACCACGTGCACAAGACACTGAAAGAATATTTTAAAGAAAAGGAAAAGTTTTAGATATGAATATTTTCAAAGAGAGAAAATATTTTGATAAAGATTAATCGATGTTTAACGAATGTGGTATATTTTTCAAGTCATAAAGAACTGGTATTATATATATAAATATAAGTTGTCTTTCTTCAGTTAAGCCTTAATCAAAGTTTTCCTTTAACTGTCCTCTGGACAGCGGTTACAAAGCCGTCCAGAGCAGACCTGGTAAATCACTACAACCTGTCGATGATAGTTCACAAGAATTCTCACGCGAGAAACCACTTCAAAATCACGTGACAGCCACGTTATCCGTCGCAGCTGGGCAGACGATAGACGACACAGCACGATGGTTCTCGGTAGAACGCAAACAGTAACTCCGTTGTGGGCGGGCTAACCAGTCGGAACTCCCAAGCAAGGCGAAACAAAAGACTATTCAGCAGGAATCAACTGGTGTTACTACATATTGGTACAAACATCAGTAGCGCGGAAACGTTCTTTTTATTTGATGGTGCAAAATGGCAGTTGCCTCTGTAACGGTGCATATCTTAAACGTTTTACATAGTAAGTGATTAATAAGTTAAAAAATAAATGGTAACTAAAAACGTGAGTTTAGTGAGAGGAGAAAAAAAAAAATTAGTGTTACTAAATGTGAACATTCCTGAGATATTATTTCAAACTAACTTCCTTATCCACGATGTTCTTAATTCAAAGAACTCCGTGGCTGTAAATATGATGTAACTCGACCAAGGGTTCTGCAATCAATTTAAATCAGTTTAGATTGCGGATTGGAAAAAGGGATTATTATACAGCTTCAAAAGATGCTCGCTACAACCACAAACTAAGCTAGTGGACTTCTAGACTGTAGTTGTCCACCTGTTGGATCAACTCAAAGGAAAGCTACGATGTCTTGGATTCTAGTTTTACTTTTCATAGAGTACAAACTCCGTAAGTAATTCATCCCGTTTTACTTTTCATAGAGTACAAACTCCGTAAGTAATTCATCCCGTTTTACTTTTCATATAGTACAAACTCAGTAAGTAATTCATCCCGTTTTACTTTTCATAGAGTACAAACTCCGTAAGTAATTCATTCCGTTTTACTTTTCATAGAGTACAAAATCCGTAAGTAATTCATCCCGTTTTACTTTTTCAATTTTAATTCCTAATGACCTATTTGCTTGTCACATTGGGCCATCTGCTGTGTTCACCGCGGGGAATCGAACCCCGGATTTTAGCGTTGTAGTTGTGAGTCCGAAAACTTACCACAGTCCCACGGGGGGGGGGACTTTTCTACTGGGCATGACGTACAACAATACATTTCAAGTCTTATTACGATTTGGAAATACATAAACAAAATTACACGTTAGAACTAAGTAACTTTATCACGTATGCTGACAAAATTCTAAGAGAAATCCGTGCACAAATCGCTTTATCGTTTTATGTTTAGCCAATGCTGCGTTTAAGTAGCTTGAGGCGATTCGAGGCTTCCGGAGAAATTGAATCAAAAACACTGAAAGTTAGGATTGCGTCAACGTCCTTGGTTAGTGTAAGTTCAGAACTTTATACATCTAAATAAGAAAAATGTTGACGTTTTTAGGACGGGTCAGTCAGAATGTGAAGGATTTTGTACGAACACATACCATGTATTTTTCTGAGATTAATAGTTTCACAGCAGACTCAACTTTCAGAGTAAATATGCTTTGTTCTGCTGTTTCAGATGGAATTTCGCTTAGGTTTGTTTGTTTGTTTTTTAATTATGCACAAAGCTACACAAGGGCTATCTGTGCTCTGCCCACCACGGGTATCGAAACTCGGTTTCTAGCGTTGTAAGTCCGCAGACATACCGCTGTGCCACTGGGGAGCATTTCGCTTAGGATTACACGTTGTAAGTTTTTTGACAAGGCGTATCTTTTAGCATGTACTCGAACATACTACTCTAAGATTTGTTTGGTAACATTTAAGAATAATTATATTGTGAAAATGTTCTCCATAAACAGCAACAGTGCAATAGCGAGTAACTCAAAATCTCAACAATACGATAGTGAGTAACTAAAATAGCAACATTACAATAGTGGATAAATCAAGACAACAATAACACAATATATATAATAGTTGGTTAAATCAAGACAGCAACAGTACGATAGTGGTTAAATCAAGACAGCAACAGTACGATAGTTGTCAAATCAAGACGGCAACAGTACAATAATGGGCAAAATTAACGCCGCAACAGTACAGTAGTGAGTAAATCAAGACGGCAACAGTACAATAACGGCCAAAATTAACGCCGCAACAGTACGATAGTGGTTAAATCAAGACAGCAACAGTACAATAGTTGTCAAATCAAGACAGCAACAGTACAATAGTTGTCAAATCAGAAAGCAATATTATAATAGCGGTCAAAGCAAGACAGCAACAGTACAATAGCGAGTAACTCAAGACAGCAACAGTGTAATAATGGTCAAATCAAGACAACAACAACAACACAGTAGTGGTCAAATTAGACAGCAACAGTACAATAGTGGGAAATAAAAATAGCAACAGAACAATTGTGAGTAATTCAAAACAGCAACAGTAAAATACTGGTCTAATGAATACTGCAACAGTACATTAGCGAACAAATCAAGACCGCAAGAGTACAATAGCGAGTAACTCGACCCATTAACAATACGGTCGTGGGCAAATCAAGATAGCAACAGTGCAATAGTGAGAAATTAATACAGCAACAGTACAATAACGGGGAAATCAAAATCACAAGAGTGCAATAACTAGTAACTCAAGACATCAACAACACGGTTGTTGGCAAATCAAGATAGCAACAGTACTATAGTGAGGAACTCAAGACGGCAACAGTATAATAATGGGCAAAATTAACGCCGCAACAGTACAGTAGTGAGTAAATCAAGACGGCAACAGTACAATAATGGCAAAATTAACGCCGCAACAGTACAGTAGTGAGTAAATCAAGACCGCAAGGGTACAACAGTGAGCAAATGAGAATCATGAAATAATACCCCTTTACATTGTACGTATCTTTAACTATTAATTCTATTACATATACTATCTAAATGATTAGATCATACTAGATTCATTAAACAGAGTTCTAATTAATGTTGATCTTGCCGTAGACCACATGATTTAGGTTTCATCGAAACATTTTTTTTTAATAAAAGGCTGCTTCAGGCACATAGGTTTGATTTTAAATATGTTACATATTTCTGTACAGCGCGGCGCCATAGTATTTCTACTTGTATAGTAGAAGGAGACACTAACTGGTGTTTCTATCTCTGTATATTATATACATTCATTTCCTTGCTAGTCATGCTGGATGTGCCATGTTACATGTTCAAAGGGTGTCTCGACATATTTGACAGAGCAGTGTAGTTTAGTAACGTGGAAGTGTTTGCTCAATGCCAAAAGTCGTATTATGTACAAATTAAATGTAAATGTTAAAAATATTCTTGGTTAATATGTTGTTGTTTTTTTTAATTAAACACAAAGCTATATAATGGGCTATCTGTGCTCTGCCAACCACGGGTGTCGAAACCCGTTTCTAGCGTTGTAATTCCGCAGACATACCGCTGTGCCACTGGGGGGGCTGGTTAATATGAAACTATTCTAAATTGTTCAACGGTATGGAAGTTTTTATAGTACAATTTCAAAGAAACGTTTAGGGCCAATGGAAATCGTGTTGTGACGAAAGGCATTTCCCAGGATTGCCTGAAGTCATCCTTACAACACATATTCAATGACTTTAGTGCATTCAATGTGGTCTCAAGTAAGTGTGTACCATCTGTGCAATATGTTCTTTGAGAGAATGGTGTAGATAAATATTCTACATCACCCCAAGAATACTTGGTACTGCTTTACTTGATATGTAGCACGTTAGCACTGAGGTGTTGAAGACAGATCACAAGTGTTGTGGTGTGTTTGGAACTCTTTATCAGTTTTCAGAGTGAGTGTTTAGTGTGGGTTTCGAGGGAGGCAGTGTGAGTGTTGTTGTTTAATGCCAACTTTGTAGGATTTTGGTGAGAGCGTTGTGCGTGAGGGGGAGGGGCACTTTGTACGTTGTGTGTGTGTGGGACCTGGCTCTGGGTAACGTCTGCAAGACTAAATGACCATGGACATTAACATAACATAAATTTTCAGGGAGAAAGACCATACCCAAAAAAATTCGTATCACTCATGACTATTCCAATGTTATTGTATCGGAAAGTTGGTTCTAGAGCGCATTTTCAAACAGTTAAAAAAAACATAACCTTCCTGTCATCATTAATGTATGAAGTTTGTGAAACAACTGTGTTTGCGATTTGCACCCCACAACAGCTGGGACCCATTTGAGACCATAACAGCCAAACATAATGCTAATATTAGTGATAGGAAAATTATTACAAAGCCCCTTCCCCTTAACATACACACTCTATGTTTACGTGCCCCGACCATTTTGGCAGGAATATGTATATATATACATACATACATATTTGAGATCATTTGACCATTTGAGACCATAACAGCCAAACTTGATGCTAATATTAGTGATAGGAAAATTATTACAAAGCCCCCTTCCCCTTAACATACACACTCTATGTTTACTTGCCCCGACCATTTTGGCAGGAATATATATACATACATATTTGAGATCATTTGACCATTTGAGACCATAACAGCCAAACTTGATGCTAATAGTGATAGGAAAATTATTTCAAAGCCCCCCCCCCCTTAACCATACACACTCTATGTTCACATGCCCCGACCATTTTGGCAGGGATATATATATATATACATACATAGCGCTGGAAATTTATAATTATGAAAAATAATACCAATAAACACATGATTCTTAATATGCTAGAACAAATGTCATTTGCAATTTCTATTATCATTTAATAGCTTTGTTGTTACTCTTTTGTTTGAGTAAAATGGTAAATTAGAGCTGTTTTCAGAATATTTTTCTTAATATGTTCATCTGTCGGATTGCTCGCTTCAATAATTTATAGTGCATTATAGAAAAACGGGCCGAAATACGATATTTGTTTTAGTTTAGTCCAAATTCAGCTTGTATAATAACCTAGGTTGGTTAAAATGCAGCTAGAATATATATATATATGCGTTTAACGTTAATACGCTACAGGCAGTTTTATAATTGATAAATCTTATAAAACTTAAGATAGTTTTGATATACAGAAACGTGTTATCTGAGTTCTTGCACAGACCTTAAAATATAACGTTCATAAATGAAAACATCGGCTCATTTTGATATGCAGATCTTGAAAGTCGAGTTGTTCAAAACTTGAAAATAGCGTTGATAACTGGACCAGTTATTGGTTGAGATCTTGCAAAAGATTTGTGCAAGAACTCAGCTAACAGATGTTTCTGTATATCAAAGCTATCTTCAAGTTTTGTACAACGAAAAACCTTTTCAAATATCTTATTTTCCTACGCTTTTTATAATAATCATAAACAACATTTCCAATTCGTTAAAGATTTAAAAATAACGACTTTCTTAAGATAAGTGAGAGCTGGGAAGGTTTCTTTAGTTTATACTGGGTTGCAACTCTACAGAATTCATTGGCTAAATGGCCTCATTAAATGGAAGAGAAGTTAATTACGAAAGGAGAGAAGAAGACAGAAAAGACCGTATGTTTCCAACAGAAGATTAATGGTAGCTTTCAAAGTCAATCTTGGTTTCGATGGCAGAAGTTTCGCCGTCATCTTTCTCTCTGCTGTTGTTTATTCACTGTTTTGAGTGCTGTCATTTGAAATAGTTCTTCAAGATATCCAGTTCGTTGAAAAAGTCTCATACTGAAAAAAAAAGGCATTTTAAAGTGTAAGGTTTAATCGAAAACTTCAAACTATATAGTGATCATTAGCTAAATTGTTCAG